AACAAGTAATTAGTCAGGTCCAAGTGGTAATACTGCTGAGGGTGAGACCTCTCACTTTCCATGACCAGTTCTGGGAAATTACTTGGTGTGGTTCTTCTATCCATAGTCTTTGTAACACCCACCAAGTGACTGGGCATGCAAGGGCCATTGCGCTGAGTATAAAGTGAGCCATCTCAGAAGCAGGAAGGGAGACTCTCGGGCCGTCAAGAAAGAAGCGTGCCTTGGAGACCCTGGGACAGCGTGGCAGTGGCAGCAGAGGCACTAGAGTCCACAATACCACAACTCAGAGGCAAAGCACCAGGCTCCCCAGCCTAGGGGCCAAACAAAGCTGCGGCCCCTCAGGCAGGAGGTCGGCTTGCAGAGTGGCGTGCCCTTGGGCCATTTACCAGTGCTAAAGGAGCTTCATAATGCTTGCCTGAAGAGGGCCAAGGGACGCCATGGCTGAAAGGTGAAGGACCAGCAGAAGACATGCCTGCAGGCATGGTTGAGAAGAGGCATTGCTGAAGACAAAAGAATCGTATCCTTAATGTTTTCTGATCCTCACTTGTTGTGACCTGTTAACTTCCCAATCAAATCCACATAATTGTCTGTGAGCTTTGTGTGGCCACTTCAGTGGATTATTGAACCCAGCAGAGAAGTCGAATGCCACGGGAGGAACAGTGGAGTGTCAGAAGAGAATACAGAAGCACGGAGGTTAGAGCCGGTCTGACCTCTGACTCACAGAATCCTCCCTGGGCAGATGTGGACCTGTGTTAGCCAACTCCTGTTGAAGCCAGAGGAGACCGGATGTGCCCCACAGGGCATTGCCTCACCTGCCCTAGAAGGTGACTGTGACGCACGAATAAGGACACTTATCCCCTAGCTGGACATCACTGTCTTATTCCCTCTGTGCCTCAGAGCCAGCACTCACTTTCTGTGCCCCAAATGAGAGCGCAGACAAAGGGCGAGGAGGATGCAAGCTGGGAAGGTGGGCACCCACGCCACGCTCAGCTGGCTCGGGGGTGGTGGACACCTGGGGAGGATTGGGGGAGCACACAGCAGTGAAGGGGGCCACTTCAACTAGACCGCAGCGATTGCTGCCATATGGAAACATGCGCCTGACACTAACAGCCACTGCACATTGTTGAAACCATCAGGACCTTTATGAGAAAATCATCCAACATCTAACTTCTGACAGCGAATGTCAAGTTGGAAACACACACAAAAGAAATAACACGCTGCAGGCAAGCATCGAAACAGACCTGCCGGTAGCACACTGCATAAGCCCAAACCAAGCTGCCCCGCCTGTCTATGTGACTGCTGATCCATCCAGCACACCCTGCAGGGAGCAGTCTGAGAGCCTGGCCAGTGCGTGTCCAGGGTGGAACAGCTCGCTGCAAAGACTCAAAAGCGCCGGCCTCCAGTTGGGCTCCCCTCTGCTGGGGGCTTGCTTTGTGGTTAGGAAATTCTTTGCGGCTGAAAACACTACCATCCTTAAACACTCAAGAGTTCTCGAAAATCAGGAAATTCCAAAGTCAAGGATCCTTTTGCAATAATCGCATACACCATTCCCGTGATCCAGGCCCACAAGCCCCAAGCCTTTCCAGCACTTTGGCCAGGGGCCACCAGGCTCACGGGCTGTGATGCAGGCTGGGGAGGTGGCCCTTACCCACCGCCGCTTTCTTACCAGATAGATTTAGTGCTGGCTTGTTAGCACTTGGCATTTCTGATTAATTTTGAAATTCTGTGCCTCAAATAGGAGCCCCAGTGGCATAGTGGTTACGAGTTGGGCTTCACTCTGAGAGGTCAGCAGTTTGAAACCATCACCTGCTCTTGGGGAGAGACGAGGCGTTCTACTCCCACAAATAGTTACAGTGTCGGAAACTCACAGGGACAGTTCTACCCTGTCCTACAGGGTTGCTACGATGGCATCGACTTGATGACAGGGGGTTTGGTTTGGGGTTTTGGTACGGTCTATGTTCACAAGGAAGTTCATGTGCAAGAACTTGTCAAGAACTCAGACTACTACAATAGAACTTAAGACTATAGAAATTTGGGGCTGGGCAAGAGTCTCCAGACTGTTCTGGGCTATGGATGCTGCTTCTCCTGGGGTTGGGTGTTCAGATGGCAGCCTCCTCTCGTGTCATCTGTCCCGGGATGGGGCAAAGAGGAGGATGTGACACAGGATGATGTCCCTGCTCCACGGGGCCTGTCTTGTGTATAAATCACCCTGCCTCCTCAGGGCTGATGGACTTTTCTTCATGAACAAGTCCTGCTCCTTCCATATGCTTCCCTTTCTCAGGAAAAGGCAACCTCTTCGTTGTGACTGCTCTCCGGGACTAACATCTAGGAGCCATCCTTAACCACCCCCTCTCTCTCTGAAGTCTCAGAGTTCCTCCTCAGTGCATTTCAGGTGTCCAATCACCTCTGAGCATCTCCTGAGAAATCTCCTGGCCTTGGCCACCATCGATCTCACCTGGATCATTGCCTTCTCTAGGCGGTCTGCTTCTCCCACCGCTCCCGAGCCCATTCCCCACACGGCGCACAGAGAGATGCCCCTCTGCTCAACACCAAGGCTCAGACCTGTCAGTCATGTCCGACACAGTGAAACTGGAACTGGTCCACATATGTGAACTGGAGGTTCACTCAAATTCTAACTGGAATGGGAACAATTAGGGGGTCGAAGCCCTGAAATCGAAAACTCGGAAGAGGCATAGTGAGCCCTTTCCCCCGGAGCCTGGGGGGGGGGGGGGTTGGAGTATAGCCAGGACTGTAGAGCATGACTCATTCAGAGTGGCAAAATCAGCCAGCATCTTTGAGCAGGGCACTGCTGTTTTCAACTGTGCTGATCAAGAGATTGGTTGCTATGCAACACACACTGCCCTGGTTTTCTCGGCAGGTGATTACGTTTCTAGCAGGGGGCCACCACACTTTCTCCCCATTCTGGGGATCATAGCAGCGCACCCACATGTCACAAGTTTAGGTCTGTTCCGGTTTCACTTTTTTGGCCAGGAATCAAGTGGGAAGAAGCAGCTCAAAATCCCTCTAGTGGCTCCTCATTTCACTTGGGTTCAAGCTAGTCCCATCAGTGGCCTTAACACTCACGACCCCTCAGCCAGATGCCCTTCCCCTTTACCCCCCTTGTCCCTGGGCTTCAGAAACACGGGTCTTCAAGCCAGCTGAATACACTCTCCCCTCAAAGCCTTGCACCTCCTACAGGAACCACCCCGGCTCATTCCCCCACTTCCTGCAGGTCTCAAATAGCTTAGGAAGAGGCCCAGCGGCCCTTCAACTCCCGAGTAGCTGCATTCTAAACAAGGATGGCACGGAGTTCATCAACGACAAACTAACCTGCAGGATCAAGATGGAAAAAGGAAAGAAACGACACACCGCTACAGAAAGAGCAAGGCTGCACAAAACACAGTCACTCTCTGTGGGTCAGGGACCGGAAGGCGGCCAGGGAATGCCTTGGCTCTCAATCTGGATGCTGGGGAAGGTACGCTCAGTTTGTGAGATTTAGCAATTGCATATTAAGAGTCTCTTTTTAAAAAAAAACAACATTTTTTGTAATCGTTTTATTAGAGGCTCATACAACTCTTATCACAATCCATACATACATCATTTGTGTAAAGCACATTTGTACATTCATTATCAGCATCATTCTCAAAACATTTGCTCTCCACTTTAGCCCCTGGAATCAACTCCTCATTTTTCCCCTCCCTCCCCACTCCTCTCTCCCTCATGAACCCTTGATAATTTATAAATTATTATTTTGTCATATCTTGCCCTGTCTGACATCTCCCTTCACCCACTTTTCTGCTGTCTGTCCCCCAGGAAGGAGGTCACATGTGGATCCTTGTAACTGGTTCTCCCCTTCCAACCCACCCTCCTCTACCCTCCCAGTATCGCCACTCACACCACTGGTCCTGATGGGATCATCCACCCTGGATTCCCTGTGTTTCCAGTTCCCACATCTGTACCAGTGTACATCCTCTGGTCTAGCCAGACTTGCAAGGTAGAATTGGGATCATGATAGTGGGGTGGTGGGGGGTTGTGAGGAAGCACTTAGGAACTAGAGGAAAGTTGTATGTTTCATCATTGCTACATCGCACCCTGACTGGCTTATCTCCTCCCCAAGACCCTTCTGTAAGGGGATATCCAGTGCCTACAAATGGACTTTGGGTCTCCACTCTGTACTCCCCCCCTCATTCACTATGATATGATTTTTTTGTTCCGATGATGCCTGATACCTGATCCCTTCGACACCTCGTGATCGCACAGGCTGGTGTGCTTCTTCCATGTGGGCTTTGTTGCTTCTGAGCTAGATGACCACTTGTTTACCTTCAAGCCTTTAAGACCCCAGATGCTATATCTTTCGATAGCCGGGCACCATCAGCTTTCTTCACCACATTTGCTTATTCACCCGCTTTGTCTTCAGCGATTGTGTCGGGAAGGTGAGCATCATAGAATGCCAATTTAATAGAAGAAAGTATTCTTGCATTGAGAGAGTACTTGAGTGGAGGCCCAATGTCCTTCTGCTACCTTAATACTAAACCTATAAATATATGTACATAGATCAATTTCCCCATTCTCATATAGAAATATATTTGCATATGTACCTGCCTTTATTTAGCCCTCTATAAATGCCCTTTGCCTCCTAGCTCTTTCCTCTATTTCCTTTGACATTCCTCTTGTCCCACTATCATGCTCAGTCTTCATTTGCGTTTCAGTAATTCCTCTTGGTTACATACCCTCGATTCCGCCCTACCAGGCCTCCCACACCCTGCTCACCACGGACACGGATCACTTGTTGTTCCCTTGTCCCTGGGTTCACGACAATGTGACTTACGGTTGAAAGGAGATATGCACCTCACCCACCTACCTTCTCTTCAATGTTGTGAGGAAACGTCTCAAAAAGTTTGAGAATATGCTTTGAGGGGGGAAAAATTAAATGTTCTTTGTACATTTGGTGAAGCCCAAACCACCCATGCGCATTCCCCCTTTCTGTGCAGAGGACTTACCAACCCACGGTTGCCCTGGTCAGGATCACCTCAAACAGCAGCAGCGATGCACCAGCTGTGATGACCTGCGGAGATCATGTCCACAAAGGGCCATCAGACAAGGTGGACATGCAGCATTCTAAATGTAGATGGGGCAGTTCAGAGAGTGATCCCCAAGGTTGTCTGTGGGATTTAGTTCACAGTAATGGACCAATGTTGATTCATCAATTGTAACAAAAAGTACCACACCAATCAATACACACTGATATGGATGCATTTAACGTCCAAACTCGTCATCAGCCAACATCCCTCCTCTCTCTTCAGGGAAGAGATATGAAGAGTCAAGACACATTCCCATCTTGCCACAGCTGGACAGAATTCATCTCCCAGGTCAGAGGTACCCACTAACCGGTTCCCAGATCCTCACAGAAAGGAGCCTAGCTGGGTGATAAGCTTCCTTTGTCTATGGTACTGTCACACCCATCCTCTCTTAATGTTCCGTCTGTCTCCCTGACCCAAAGCACACAGTCTAAGAACCAGGTGTTTACCTGTGGAAGGGAGCAGTTAGGTCGGTGTTTATTTGCAAATACTTAGAAGCCTGAGAGAAACAGCTACCCCACATCTCAGAGCTAGTAATGACAGAACCTTCTCTTAGGGATAGCCCCAACAGCCCAGGGCAGATTACCCAATACACAGGGTGAGCATGGTCTGACTTACGAGTCTGTAATGAATAACTAGGTGTGATGAGGTGAGAGACATGGAAACCCAAACCTTCAACACATGAGCTTGGCGAGATTTTTGCACCTTTGTAGTTTACCCCCCGAGGGACATTTCGGTTTGCCTCACTTGAGGAGGCAACAACAACACAACACTTTACAGTAAAAAAGACCTGAGTCTTGTCTTCAGGAAAAACAAAGCAGCAGCAACCGGGCCAAAGAGACAGCTGTAGAGCAAAGCCCACAGTTCTTAGCATGTAAGGAAGACTTTCTCAAAGTGGTGGGTTCTGTTAAAAAACAAAACCCGATGAATGACAACCGTCGCTCTTTCCCTTTGCAGCTGCTTGGACCTGTCTTAGGACGGTGGTTCTTGGGATGGCCGGGAAAGGCTCCGTCCTACCGGTGGATGCTGCTACTGTTGGCACTGGTGCCCTGGCACACCTGGTTGAAGTTACGGAGGTTGAACTCAGTGGTTTGTCTAAGTCATCACCAGTGTCTTCACCGTCACGGCTCCTTTTTACCAGCCCCTTGCGTCATTCTTCTTTCTTTCGTCATGGGAAGCACATGTACAACAAAGCACGTGACATTTCAACAGTCCTCACAGGGACTGTTCAGTGACGCTCCGCTCATCATGTTCCGCAACCATCGTCCTTATCCGTTCCCGCATTCAAAGCTAGGCCTAGATTAGCGTGTCTCCTGATTCCCTGACAACTCTTTTGTATGGCTTTTGTCTAGCTTGGGGCACTGTCACTTGCCGCGTGCCCTGCCCTGAATGCAGCACGGGACTGTGCCTCTCTTCCTCCGTGAGCTTCTTTAGCTTCAGAGGACTCCGCTGGCCTGCATATTTCTATTCACTTCATTTCATGCCAAGAAAAGCACATCTTACAATTTCTAAACCAGCCCTTGCTTGCAACTCAGGCTGGCTGTGCAGCCAGGCTGTTGTCTTGGCCATCTGAGGCTTCCTGGAACTCTCTGTATATGGGCTCCCGCCTCGTTCCCCAGCCACCTTCTCCAACTTTGGGGAAGTTTTCTCTCTCCACTGATGCACACATTTTCTGTGGGCCTCCGGCACAATGTGCTGACAGCTCTCAGAGAGGCGATCATATTTCTGTCGAGAGCACACAGTGTAGTTGTGAGCATGCAGTGCTGTCCTGGAGCAAGACGACACCTTATTTCACTCCATTCGTTTCCTTACAAGTCTCTGCTTTCTTTCACTTCTGCCGCCTACCCTAGTCAGCAGCTTGCTTTTCAGGGGCATTTTGTTCCACACACATGTGCACGGCCATCCATGTTCTACGATTTCACAGAAGTCACTGCCGAAGAAAGAACATGCAACAACCAACACCTCACCCGGAGCCTGACGTACGTGTACTGGCTAAGTGACTGGCTCCCTGACATGTGGAGGCTCTGAGTCGCACCTCAGCAGAGCGGTGGCCTTCTACAAGCCACAGGCTTCCTACACACCATGGCACTGCTCAAGAACAGTCAAGGGCTGCTGATGCCAGAGGCCCACCAGGAAAAGAAAACCAAGCCAGAAGTGGCTGGCTCAGAGAGGGAGAAACAGAATCAAAGTCCTGGCACCCAGGCCAGCTTCTCTCACAGCCAAAATCTCAAGAAAGGGCCTCTGTATCAGGCACCAGAGACCTGGAACAAAAAAGCACATCACCGTGCATGAAGCAGGGAACCAGTGGAGAGGTCTGAGGGACCGGCCGCAATCCCAGCTAGGTGAACACCTGCTCCCCCCTCCCCCCCCCCCCCCCCCCCCCCGAAGAATTGAAGCACTGAATCTGCAACTCAGGGAGAGGGACATGTCTGATCAGAGCACAAAGGAGCAAATGAAGGAGGAGGAAAAGAGAGTGGAGCACATCCTGGCCCACCAAGTCTTGACGAAGAGATTCCCAATCAGTACAGCCAATTCACACAGAAGACCATATGGCAGGCCCCACTATGAGACACAACATCCCTCACTGACCAATAGCTCTACAGGGGACAACACTGGAGACACCGTGTGGGAATTGCACCCGATCTGATCCCACCACACCGAGACAAAACACTAAGGGCATGCAACAGGGGAACAGCAAGGGGAACAGAGCAACGAAGTCCCCAGGGAATACCAAAAATAGGGGCCAGGGCATGGTACCCCATCAGACTTAGCCAGAAAACACTCCTTAAGGCCAACAAACAGTGCTTGAACTAACTACAAGCTTTTCTTTCTTGTAGTTGTGTTTTGTTTTTTTGTCATTGGCTTGTTATCTTTTGTTGCTTGGTTTTGCTCTGTCTTATTTTTGTGCATGTTATTATCTCCACAGGTCTGTCTAAATAAGATAGGCTGGATGAACAATCTGGAAGAGAAAACAACGGGACTGACAGTTCCGGGAGACATGGGAGATGGGGAGGCTGGGGGAAAGGAAGTGGTGTTAACAAACCCAGGGACAAGGGAACAAGTGATCCAAAGCGGTGGTGACAGGATGTAGGTGGCCTGGTAGGGCTTGATCAAGTGTAATGTAACCAAGAGGAATTACTGAAACCCAAATGAAGGCTGAACATGATAGTGGGACAAGAGGAAGGTAAAAGGAAATACAGGAAAGAGCTAGCAGGCAAAGGGCATATATGGAGGTCTAAATAAAGGCAGGTACATATGTAAATATAATTATATATGAGGATATGGACATAGATCTATGTTCATATATGTATAGGTTCAGTATTAAGGTAGCAGATGGACATCGGGCCTCTACTCAAGTACTCCCTCAATACAAAAATACTTTGTTCTATAAATTGGCATTCCATGATGCTCCCCTTCCTGACACAATCGCTGAAGACAAAGTGGCTGCATAAGCAAATGTGGTGAAGAAAGCTGATGGTGCCTGCCTATCAAAAGATACAGCGTCAGGGGTCTTAAAGGCTTGAAGGTAAACAAGCGGCCACCTAGCTCAGAAGCAACAAAGCCCACATGGAAGAAGCACACCAGCCTGTGTGATCATGAGGTGTTGAAGGGATCAGGTATCAGGCATCATTAGAACAAAAAATCATATCATTGTGAATGGGGGGAGTGCGGAGTGGAGACCCAAAGTCCATCTGTAGGCAATTGGACATCCCCTTACATAAGGGTCGTAGGGAGGAGAGGAAGCCAGTCAGGGTGCAGTGTAGCGAAAATGAAACATACAACTTTTCTCTAGTGCCTGAATGCTTCCAACCCCCGCCCCCATCATGATCCCAGTTCTACCTTACAAATCTGGCTAGACCAGAGCATGTACACTGGTACAGATAGGAACTGGAAACAGAGAATCCAGGGCGGACGATCCCTTCAGGACCAGTGGTGAGAGTGGCGATGCCAGGAAGGTGGAGGAGGGTGGGGTCGAGAGGGGGAACCAATTACAAGGATCTACATATAACCTCCTCCCTGGGGGATGGACAACAGAAAAGTGGGTGAAGGGAGACGTTGGACAGTGTAAGATATGACAAAATAATAATTTAGAAATGATCAAGGGTTCATGAGGGAGGGGGGAGCAAGGAGGGCGGCGGGGAAATGAGGACCTGATGCCAGCGGCTTACGTGGAGAACAAATGTTTTGAGAATGATGAGGGCAATGAATGTATGAGTATGCTTTATGTATGGATTGTGATAAGAATTGTATGTGCCCCTAATAAAATGATTTTTTTTCAATCACATCATTGTGAATGAGGGGGAGTGCGGAGTGGAGACCCAAAGCCCATCTGTAGGCAACTGGACATCCCCTTACAGAAGGGATGCAGGGAGGAGATGAGCCAGTCAGGGTGCAGTATAGCATCCGTGAAACATACAACTTTCCTCTAGTTCTTTAATTCCCCACCACCACCACTATCATGATCCCAATTCCACCTTACAAATCCGGCTAGACCAGAGGATGGATTTATACTGGTACAGATAAGAGCTGGAAACAGAGGGAATCAAGGACAGATTAAACCCCTCAGGACCAATAATGAGAGTAGAGATACCAGAAGGGTTAGGGGAAACCGATCATAGTGATCTACATAGAACCCCTTCCTAGAGGGACGGACAACAGAAAAGTGGGTGAAGGGAAACATCAGACAGTGTGAGACATGAAAGGATAATAATTTATAAATTATCGAGGGTTCAGGAGGGAGGAAGGGAGGGCGGGGGAGGGAGTGGGTAAAACTGAGAAGCTGTTACCAAGGCCTCATGTAGAAAGCAAATATTTTAAAAATGATGATGGCAACAAATATACAAATGTGCTTGACAAAATGGATGGATGTATGGACTGTGATAAGATCTGTAAGAGCCCCCAATAAAATGATTTAAGTTAAAAAAAAAAAGGGGGAGAAGAAAGGGCCTCTAGGTGTTAACAGCACCCAGTATTTCTCCAAGGGAGA